AAAAATTTAGTGAACGACATTTTTGTAATCCAATTTTAAACTTGAAACTTTTCCACTTTTAATATAATAAGAAATATGACGATAATACATACATGCATATATATGTATGTATGTATGTATGTATGTTGAGTGTAGTACAAGATTTTGTATTAATTAAATAATTTAAAAAAAAATAAAGTACTATATTTTTTGTGAATGATTAACGTGAATCGTCGTATGATGACTTATTTATCAATATCAAGATGACTAATTATCGTCGAAACCTACATAATGAACAATCAAATTGTCTCATAATTCTACTTCCTAGACATAATATGATAAACATTCATGAAAACTACTTTATTCTTTTAAAATACTACTAGATGCAACCAGGAATAGACAATTAAATTTGAACTTTTAAAAGAGTTATGCCTATTAAGCATCTCCTTGAGCTTGTAATATTTCCCAAACTAGAATTCAATCTGCTCGCGAAGGTACGTTTAGTTATTTAAGTAGTAAATAATACTAAAAGAAATCAAAGGGACACAACCGCTCAATCTTGAAGGGTTTCAACTATCTCATAAAATTGCAACCATATAAATTTAGTAATAACAAGAATAAAAATTGTTTTTATGTATTTTGAATTAGCTAGTTGGGTATGGCTAGTTATAGTTTTATAATGTTGAACCTTATTGATTAATACAAAAGTTTGTTATTGTAGATACGTGAGTTTTGATCCTCCCCGATTCAACCCATTTTTAGCTTAAAATATCTATTTTGATCTAATTATTAGGTCATTTTTGGTAAACTTTACTTGATAAATTGCAAAACCACAAAAGTAGTCATTTTTTATATGACACTTTTATTTTCGATTTACAAGGAAAAAAATCTGAAAATATGTTCTTTAATTTTCTAATATTTAATATTAAGGTGGTATTTTATTTTTGGTTATTTATAAAAGCAAAATGAAAAGATCGAATCCACCTCCCCAATTTATTTTTGATCTTATCCCAAATCTATAAGGACATTTTAGGAAGATTAGACACAAAGAAATAGATCACATTCACCCTAACCCTAATCTATAAAACTAAAAGAAGGGACTCTAACAAAAAGAGGAATAGCTGCAGCTAGCCCAATAAAAAAAACAGCCACAATTCACATTCTTCACTGATATTTTACCATTACATAGCCATGAAGAATTCAAAGACACCATTTTTAAAATTGTCATGAAAACAATCATTCTACTCTAGTTCACCTAAAACTAAGACAACAACACAACAAATCTGGTTGCTCAAGATCTAAATGGAGGTAGAGTCGAGTTGGCAAAGTTTAACCGGTGACTTTGTACTGTAATCTATTGCTTAGAGGTTTTCATCAATAAGTGAAGAAAGTTTATTCGATCAAGGTTCTTTCTCACATTTTTATTCAATTTGTATCCATCTATTTTAGTTGTTTCAATGACTAGTGAATATCTATGTCCATGTGTTTGTTTTATCCCTAGTGTTAATATTTCCAGAATTATTCTTGAATTGCAATTCTTATATAGTTTTTTATTTTGATGTCTCATCACGTGAAATGTCCTTTTTGTTGATTCAATTTTTGGTATTTCCGTTAGATTATATATGTGCTCTAGCTTGATGTTGTATGTTCATGTTATTTATTATGAAGTTGGATACCTAAAAATGAAATAACACTAAAACAAAAGATTCATTTAGTTGCATTAGATTAATTTTTAACTATTGCCGCAAAATATTTAGTGGCAATTGAGTTAATGTCATCCCATCTAGAGTTGTTAAAGTTTTTAAGGACATTTATGCAAAGTGTTGTTTATAAATACTCATATTTATTATTGCCGCTAAATATACTATAGTGGCAACTGTATTATTTTTATTACATTCTGATAATCTGCACGACCTAGTAATTTACTCTATATTCGCCTATGAATGAAACAAGTTACCTAACATGTTTCAAAGTAACAGTAAGAACAATAAATAAAGAACATAATGTTTTAAGAGGAAAACACCCGGTTCAAAAGGTGTAAAATACCACCATGTACCCCGACAGGATTTAATTCCAACTTCACTAAATCACTGAGTCTCAACAGAAAATAGATTACAAACTTTGCGACCTACATAACTAACTCCAATTCCTTAACTTCAAGTTGTGGATTTAGATTACAACTCTTGCAATCCTAGGAACTAACTCTAAATCCTAACCTTCATGTTATGAATTCTGATTACAAATATTGTAAACTCTAAATCCTAAACTTCAATACAAACATCCCAAGGTCCGTGTTATCAACTCTTCGAGTTATCCCAACCTGAAGGCAACACTCCTAATTCAGTCCATAACTCACTAAACTAAGATTACATCAAGACTCATTCACAAATAAAAACTCCTGACACATAAACTCTATATAAGGACCAGATTTTTTGATGTGTTCCTCCTATGTGTTCTTTCAGTTCACTGGTAGCACTTACGAAGTTAATTTTTCACTTGCTCTTTTTGCTCTGTTTCTCGACGGCTTCACCTCTATTAATAAAAATTCTTCATAGAGTTATTGTGCACTTCAAACTCCTTATTGACTTGAACTCTCTTTGCTTAGAGTTCTACTTCAAGTGATATTCCTTCTTCAATTCAAACTTTTTGCTTCTTTAGACTCCTTCAAATCAAATTCATTGATTTTTTTGTGTTGTAGCCGAACTCCAACTCTTTAATTTAGCATTAACTTGAAGAGTTCTACTTCAAGTGAGAGTCTTTTTTCCATTAAAACTCCTTGCCATTTTAGACTCCTTCAAATCGAACTCATTGATTCTTTCTCTTCAATTCATGAGATGTTTATTTCCTTGGCTTTTTTCACGAAATTAGAATTATCTATTTCTTATTTTCTGCGGTCTAGTCTTTATTAATTTTGAAAGTTTTGCGATTTCAACTACTCGTGACAATGTACCTACCATGTGGACTGACATGTTACATCTTTCTTTATCAATTATCAAAACTGCATAAAATCCCAACAAATCCCCCTCCCTTTTTTTGATGATGACAAACCTCTTGTCTTTGTGCATTCAAACAACTTTACATGTAGACACTGAAGCATGAAATACTAGCATAAAACATGTTAGTGAATGAGTTATAAACACTGCACAACTCTTGTCAAATCTTACATTAACAAGAAGATATATAAGACAAAATCCATATTTTTCATTTAAATAAAGCATATATACAACTTTACTAGGAAAAATAGGAAAGAAAGAGTAGATTAAGAAAATAAAGTAACACTGAGTTCCAAGGAAAGAATGAAACTTTGGAAGACCATACCAGGTGAAAGATGGAAAAAGACCCTTTTGGAAAAAATAAGATTTGCATCAAAGCCACAAAATCTACATATATGATATGAGAATATAATGAAAACAAAATATTTGTAGATCCTTTGAGATCATTTTAACTTTTCTATTTCAAAGAAAAAGATCATTGGTACATACAAAGGGTGTAAACTAAATGAAAAAAAATAAAACTTGGAACAGATTAAATCATGAGAATATCAAAACCTCTTCATATCTCAGCAACATCTTGGGGGAGCCCGAGATTCATTAGCAAGTTTAGGTATATGATAAAAGTCGACCATTACAGTCATTCTATTGGCTTAGTTCCATTTGCTTTGCTAACAATTGCTCAAATTTTCTCTTGCTTTATTCAAACATAGCTCCATCTTCATGTCTCTGATGCATTATTTCTTTTTGCATGTCTCTGCACTGCAAAGAGAAACACAAAGCATCAGAGACATGAAAATGAAGTCTGAATCAAGCAAGAAGAAGTTTGAGGAAAGGTTAACAAATCAAAGGGAAGCAAGTAGAAGGATCATAATGGTGGACTTTCCTCATATGCCTAACCTGCTAATGACTTTCGTACTACCACAAGGTACTACTTGGATACAATGAGGTTTTGATATTATCATGATTTAATCTATTATAAGTTTCATTTTTTTAGTTTACTATATGACCTCTGTATTTTTTAATGATCTTTTACTCTAAAATAGAAAAAGTTAAATATAGATCCAAGGATCAATCAAGCATTTTGTATTCATTCCTTTCTCACATTATATATGTAGATTGTGGTTCCTCTTGGCACCAAAAGGGTCTTTTTCACTCTTTCACATGTATCAATGTTTTACTTGTCTTATAAAGTTCCATCATATTATAGAATATCCTTGGTCATAACTCATTTCCGTATTTTCCTCTTCTTTTTCTATAATCATATTTCTATGTAGGATTGTTTGTTCTTTCATGTGGCTTGCTTATTTTTCGAGTGCAGTTCCAACTTAATTAGGTGTTTTTTGTTACTTTGAAGTGTGCCACTTGACTCTTTTATAGCGTACCCTTCTTCCTATTCATATTTCTTTATTTTCATCGACAATTCTATTTCGGGTTCCTTTTTGCTTTCATGTGGCCTTTTAATATTTTAAGTGCCAATCTCACTTAATTAGGCATTTTTTCTGACTATGAAGTGTGTCACTTGACTCATTTCACCTAACAACCAAAAATGTAAAATCTATAGTAGAAGTGAACTTTAGTACAGTTATATATGCCTTGGTACAAGATGCTAATCTGCACCAGGATATTTAGGAATTATTATGAAATAAACGACATGATTTTTTTTTAAAAAAGCGCCAACTAAATGCTAATGCCAACTCTAATTGACATGTGTATGTGCAAATTCTTGGTTCATGATTTTGTTCAAATTGACTTATCTTCTACATATTTTTGAAACAAATGACAAATACACCGGAACATGTGATGCTACTGTTAAGATCTATGGGAACACAAAAAATATATAAGGAATTCAAATAGAAGAAACTAAGGTAATGTGGTAAATATTTGGTTTCTATATATATTTTCCCCTCAAAAGTAAGGAGAACTTAAAACCATTATTGACGTTTAAGAGAAGTTGTATAACACTACCTTCTGCATCAGTACCATATCAATAGTGGACCTTTGAGTTAGTATATTAAGCAAAGACAGTAATAGGACAACTCTCCCTTGGTTTGTTAGCAGAAATATGTGATAACTGCATGCCAATAGAGAGTAGCCCTATCACTGTTTCCCTTATTATCATTCATCAAATTTTTCTCTCATTTATGTGCTTCTAGTTCTTCACTATAGACCCGTTCCTAGCTTTTATAGTGCATTCCTTCTTAGTTTATTATTTTATTTGTCTCAATTTATGTGACACGTTTAATTTTTATTTTATCCCAAGAAGAATGTCAATTTTCTATATTTGGAAATAACTTAACTTTAAAAATTCTCCTTTTACCCTTCATAATGATATTATTTGTTGTCACCACAAATTGTCAAGGAGTGTTATATATCATAAATTTCAAATGCCATTTTTTCCTTCTTAAACTTTGTGTTAAGTCAAGTAATGCCACATAAATTGAGATAGTGGGAGCAGATGGAATTAACCACTGGAGAATCAACATATCCTATGATTTTTGTGTTATGGCCTGTGTTGCTTTTACTATGTTAGAATATGGAGTAACTTTCTTATCCCTTTGGAATTACATTTCATGAAAACTCATTTTGAAAATTATGTTTATCAGATTCTCCAGTTGCTTGTCCATGAATTTGTAGGTTAAATGCAACAAATTAAAATTTACTTAAAGTTGGATATGTTGTATGATTTTGCCTTCGAAATGTTTCATTTGACTCTTGAGAGTTGTGACTTATAATGAGGCAATTTCAGGACCTTCATACCAGTGGTGGATCTAGAGCATTGTTTATGTGTTCACACGAAACCAATTATTTTTGTGCAGACCTTGCATTTCTATCAAGAAATTCAATAAATATGTAATTGGGAACCCAATTTTTATAGAAATCATAAACTTTAAATAACAAATAAATCTTTGCTTGAAGCAACATATCCTTGATCATATCTCATCTATATATTATATTTCTATTCAGGTTTAATTTGTTCTTTCTTTTTGTGCAGCTTTTCTCTTTCCCCAATGCCAATACCGCAATATCGCAAAGTTCATAAATATTTTAGATTTCAAATCTTTTAGATGCTAGGAAATCTAGACTGCATAATTTCTTTCATATGTATTACTCTAGTGTGTCGTCATTTATGTGTGTTTACATATCTACTAATTGTTTCAACACTCAAGTTTATGCTTTTTCTTGAGTTCCAACATTTTTTGTTTGAGTTACCAACATTTTTTCTTTGCTCTCGTACTACATATCAAGACACAAATAAAGTGGAAAAGAATCTTGTTGTGAGCTTGCCTAAATGTTGAATAGTTTTAAAAGATTTGGTGTATCATTGTTTAATTTTATATTTGCATTAAAAGTGACTAAATATTGAATTGTTCTGAAACTTTTCTACTTGACATTGAAACTTTTCTACTTGACATTGATTGATGATATCTTTAAAATAAATATAAGTTTAGCTATGCCGGTAAAATTAGTGGCTAGATAGAAGTTGGGGATAAAAAAATGTAAGAGTTTCTGCTATATACATTTTTTGAAATAATTGTTTAAACTGGTCATTTAAATCACACCTATTTGCTATGGATCTATTGGTTGGATGCTTAAATTGCCACTAGGTAATTGTACGCTAAAACATGTATTTGAATAGTCACTAGGTTGTGTGCTAAAGCATGTATTATGTGTCAATCATCACAAAATTTAAATACTTAGATCTAGTCTTGTGAGGTAACTTTCTTGCACAAAATATTGTACATATGCCGCAAAGATCAATCTTCTTGAACTAGGAATCTTGTAGTCTAGATGATACAAAGAAAATCTCAGGTAAAATAAATTTTCCTTTTATAAGTCTGAATTTTGTGAATTGAAATTCAAAAGATTTAATATCACCACCCAAACACAAATCCGCAAAAAGATAATTGATTTCAATTTTTTTGATGTTAACATAGATCTGGTACTTCTTCACGCCGTCTGTTTGAACAAACAACAACTTTAGTTCATTGATTTTCTGATTGATTTCTTAGTTCTTTGACAAGTTCATGACCATTCAATGAACTGAAGTTCTCGTTTGTTCAAACAGACGGCGTGGTGAAGTACTATATCTAAGTTACCTCAAAACAATTGAAATCAGTAATCTTATTGTGGATTTAGGTTTGGGTGGTGGTATTAAATATTTTGGATTTCAATCCACCGAATTAATATTTATAAAAGGAAACTTGATTCTACTTGAGGTTTCTTTTGTATCATCTAGACTACAAGATTCCTAGCTCAAGAAGATCAATCTTTGCAGTATATGTATAATAATTTGTGCAAGAAAGTTAACAAGACTAGATCTAAGTATTTCAATTTTGTGATGATTGACACCTAATACATGTTTTAGCACACAACCTAGTGAAATTCAAGAACCCGATCAATAGATCCACAACAAATAGGCATGCGCTATGTTAAGCAGAATGGACATGACAAGTCCATAACTGTTATTTTAATGACCAGAGTAAACAATTATTTCAAACAATGTATATAACATAAACTCTTCAAATATATTTAGCCTCGACTTCTTTCTAGCCACTTGTTTTACAAGCATAGATAAAGTTATATTTATTTTAAAGAGATCGTTAATGAATGTGAAGTAGCTGGGTTTCCAAAAACAACTCAACAGTTTAGTCACTTTTAATGCAAATATAAAATTTGAACAAAGATACACCGAATCTTTTCAAAACAATTTAACATTTAGGCAAGGTCACAGAGAGATTCTTTGCCAAATTGTGTGTCTTGATCTGTAGTATGAGAGCAAGGAAAATTGTATCTAACAAAAATTGTATCTTAATATAAAACTTTATAATACCTACTTACTCTAAAGATATTCTTTTAAAATGAAAATGCTCAAATATGCCATCGAACATTTAGAAAAGACACATTTATGCCATCCGTTAAAAGTTTGGCTCATGTATGCCATTGTTGTTAAAGAAAAGGCTCATCCATGCCTTTTTTTTAACTCCGGTTTTGCAAAACCACTTTTTACACCCAAACAACTTTTAACACTTTTCAATTGGAAATTTTAGATCAAATACTCTTTTTCTTTCTTTTTCCTTAAGAACATCAAGAACACATAAAGAACATTAACTATTCACAAATTTCAAACATTTTTAATTTTTTTACGAAATCACCTCAAATTTTAAGAGTACTTTTCCGCCGAGATTGATACCAAAACTCAATATTTTTTTAGCCCGAATTCAACCTAACTCAACAAAATCCACTTGAAATTTCTTCAAAGTTTCAAAGCTTCAACATTCTTTAATGGTAGATTTTTCTCCACAACTTTAAATTATTTAAAAGTTTAAACATAAACTCAAAAAACACTAAGGAACAAAAATTTAATGTCAAATATAACTACAAAAACATGAATCAAAGCAATTTTTTGAAATTTTGGGACTAATTTTCCTTTTTGTGGATTTTGTTAATATGGGTGAATTTTTTAAACTCTACAAATAATTTTAGAATTTTGGTTTTTATGAAAAAGAAAGTAATGATATAGCCTAAACTTTAGATGATGTAGTGAAGAATTGAAGATGTTGAAAATTTGGGAGTTGTTTATGTTCTTCATGTGTTCTTGGTGTTCTTAAGGAAGAAGAAGGAAAAAGAGTAAATTTGATCCAAAAACTTTAATTGAAAAGTGTTAAACTTGTTTGTGGATGTGAAAAATGGTTTTGCAAAACCAGAGTTTAAAAAATGGCATGAATGAGCCTCTTCTTTACCAACAATGGCATGTTGTAAAAGAGTACATTTGATCCAAAAACATTAATTGAAAAGTGTTAAACTTGTTTGTGGGTGTAAAAAATGGTTTTTCAAAACCGGAGTTAAGAAAATGGCATGAATGAGCCTTTTCTTTAACAACAATGGCATGTTGGGTTTTAAATGGTGTGAATGGAAAATGAAGAGCTGCGACTTTTATGAATAGTTGTGACTTTTATGAAAAGTTGTGACTTTTATAAAGAGTTGTGACTTTTATGAAAGGTTGTGACCTTTTCGAAAGATTGTGACTTTTCCAAAGGGTTGTGATATTTTCGGTAAGGAACAATAAAAATCTTTCCACACTACCCTTTGTTTACTATAAATTGAGGGATTTCCTCGCATTTTAAAAGAACTAATTTTCTAGACTTTGTCACGACCCAAAAATGAACGTGATGGCACTCGTCTTATCCCACCAAGACAAGTTAGCCTAAAATTCAACCATTACAATAAAATGCGGAAATTTCATAATCAACTCAAAAATACCCCCAAAATCTGGTCGTCGCGTGTACAAGCCTCTAAAATATTACAATTGATTCAAAAGAAAACACAAGTCTCAAATGACCTTGTTTCTAGAATAGAACAAGATCATAATTAAGAAGAAAGAAGGTCCCCTGAATTGACAAGCAACTTCCTCACAAACCTCCACAAGAAGCCTCAGACAAGGAGAAGAGAAAATATCACAAAAGGTCCGGGCTAGTAACCTACAAAAAATTGTAGTAGCAAGGGGTGAGTACCAAACCACACGGTACTCAGCAAGTAAACCTCTAAACACAAGTTAAGGGGATAGAATACGGGTACTCCTTACACCCCAACCGAACCTTCACAACTACAACCTGCATAAAACCAGCCCCAACCTAACAGTTCACAATTTACAAATGCACAGCTCAACAACAACACTCTAACAATTACATGTCCTCAGCAACAAGGTCAACATTCATCAATCAAAGTTCCACAGAAAGGCACTCACAAGCTCACCAAAACACAATATCAAGTTCACTAATGATAAATATGTGCAATGCAATGTCAAGTATAGTGATGCATATCTGACCTAGTGATACACACCCGCTGTCTCTCAATTCGGGACCCATGGGGATCATATCTGTCCATGCATCCATCGCGGTGCGCGATACGACCCTCGATAATAGTAACCATCGCGATGCGTGATACGTCCCTCGAAATATAGTATCCATCGTGGCGCGCGATACGTCCCTCGAAATATAGTATCCATCGCGGCGTGCGATACGTCCCTAGAAATATAGTATCCATAGCGGCGCACGATACGTCCCTCGAAATGGTACATCCTCTTTAATATCTTAT